TCTTCATCTCCATCCTCCCTCTTCATCTCCATCCTCCCTCCTTCATCTGCATCCTCCCTCCTTCACATCCATCCTCCCTCCTTCATCTGCATCCTCCCTCCTTCATCTTCAGTCTTCCTACAATTTCTGTGAAAGCCTTGTTAGATTTTGTTTCGCAGACAGGTTCTTAGCATAGCTCTTCGTCCAGCCACATGCTTTGCTCTAGAAGCCTCAGCATGCCCAAATGACCAACACAAGTCAAAATCAGCCTAAAGAACATCTCCCAGACCTGTACTATTAACTGCAATGTATATTGCAGACTCAACACATTACCTAGTTTTTCCAACCAAATAAAGGTGAAAATACTCAAGAGTAAATGTTTTGGAATATATGTGTGTGTGTGTGTGTGTGTGTGTGTGTGTGTGTGTGTGTGTGTGTGTATGTGTTTTTATTTCTATGGGGGGAGATCCCCTAGAGCTGGAGTTACAGGTCGCTGTGGATGCTGGAACTGAACTGGACCATGGGAAGAGCAGTAAGTGCTCTTAGCCATTGAGCCGCCTCTCCACCCCTCCTCCCAAGTATATCTGTAACCACAGTGCTTACTTACAGGAAATAATTTGCATTCCAAATTTTTAAACTTGCTGTTTCCACAATCACAACGAAAATTTCTATTAAGAAAAAAGGAAGAACATATGTTTACATTTTCCTTCAAAATTAATCACTCTTTCAGTACCAACCATAGCTCCCTCTCTGACTCATGCCTAGAATCTAAATGGTGGCCTTTTTGATGTTCATGTATCTTGTTATTGGGAGGTATCCAACAACAAAAAAGACAATTACAAATTACAATTCTGGACATCACTACACATAAAAAACAAATACCTGTATCACTCTCACACACAAACAACTGAAATAATGAAAGGAAAAGATGGGAAACGAGCTAGTCTCCGTAATTAAAAGGCCTATGGAAAAACCATTCCCTCCTGTATTCAATTTTACCAACACACAATTACTCTGAATAAAAAGCAAGATTAAGCAGCCACTGAGGTTGCAAAAGAATCTAAACAGTTCAGAAGACACTCAGAGAAATCGTTACCTTTTTGTGTATAGTTCAAATAGTTTATGACTTCCATGACATTCGTAACTGCAAGCTAGACAAATCCCTGCTGGTTCTTCCCCCTCTGGCGTGCAGGTACTACAGGCATACAGTGCTTGTCTCTTCACGGAGCCCTGACAGACCAGTCCAAAACAAAAAAGAAGAAAACATAGTTAACTAACAAAAAAAATAAAAGCACTATTATAAACCCAGATCTACACTGATGCTTGTTAGTGTAATTTTTTTTCTTATGGTAATAGGAAGTTTAAATCTGCGAATATCTTCATCTGCTTAATCATTTTAACACATGAAAATAAAGGTGAGTCCACAGGCTTAAGAGAGTAATACAACCTTTTGTTTGGTTTTTCTAGACAGGGTTTCTCCTTATAGCCCTGGCTGACCTGGAACTCAATCTATAGACCAGGCTGGCCTTGAACTCAAGAGCTCTGCCTGCCTCTGCCTCCTGAGTGCTCGGTAATTCATGTACCACCAACTACTTGGCTCACATTTTTTATCTTAGAAATGCATATAATTCAACCAAAGATGAAAAGTAATCGTTTTAATTTGGGGAGAGATGCATGGGGAGCATCTAGAAGAAGCCCACTGCCCACTGTCAAGTAATGGAGTATAAACAAGGGCAAGCGTGTCCAATGGAGACAAATGTTTAAAAGCAATGCATTCACAGGTATACAGATATCCATACTATTCTTTCAAGTTACCTGTAGATTTAAAATAGTTAAAAATTAGAAGTCGAAGGACAAACAGCACAACTTAGAAATGTTGGTCGGGGGGCACATCCCTCCCCAGGAAGGGGATTGATTACCAGCACACAGCAGCACGCCAGGTTTGTGTGTGGTGATGGGGACAGAGAAGCACAGGCCCTCATGCTTGCCCAGCAAGGGCTTTACTGAGCCTCCTGCTAGTCCAACTACACAAATGTCTATTGTTCTTCAATTGGCTATTTTACTAAAGAATTTGCAGCTCCATGGGTGAAGTCACGGGCTGAGTAAGCCTGAAAAACCTGTGTTTCTTCCATCTCCAGAACCCACATAAAGGCAGAGAAGACAACTGATTCCACAAAGCTGTTCTCTGATGCCTGTCTGCATATGTTCTGTGGTACACATGCCCACAAACAGCAGTAAATAAACTTTTTAAAATTGACTTGAAATTAGAGCCTAAAAGCACATACCGCTGTCTCAGAGAACTAGCATTGAGTTTCTAGCTCCTAACCACCTGGAAGTCAGAGTCCTCTGCCCTCAAGGGCACCTGCACTCACATGAACATATCTACACAAATGCTTAAGAAATAAATATTAAAAAAAAAAGTACTGTTGGGCGGTGGCGGCACACACTTTCAATCCCAGCATTCGAGAGGAAGAGGGAAGCATATTTCTAAGTTCAAGGCTAGCCTGAGCTACAGAGTGAGCTCCAGGATAGCCAGTGCTACACAGAGAAACCCTGATTCAAGAAACTAAAATACTAATACTAATTGATATCTATACTTATAGAGATATGACTATTTAAAGACAAAAACTTAAGACCAGGCCTTTAATCCTATCACTTGGAAGGAAGGTGGATCTTTGTGAATTCAAGGCCAGCCTGGCCTACATAGTGTTTCAGACCAGTTAGAACCACACAATGTGACTCTGTCTCAAAAAACAAAAACAAAATCCACCAAAAACAAGACTTGAAGCCAAGCATGGTGGTGCACACTTTATAATACCCACAGCGCTTGGAGGAGAGGGCAAGAGAAACAAAAATTCAAGGCAGATCTGGGCAACATAAGATCCTATCTCCAACAACAATTTTAGTTAAGATTGTACAAAGATAAGCACATGAAAAAACAGCTTACATACTGACTTAAGACCTTTCTTTCCTTCTTCCAAGGAAGGGGTGGGTATGTGGTTTAGTGGTCACTGAATAAAAAAAAAAAAAAAGAAATAAAAAGGAAGGGAAGGACATGCCTGTTCCTTGGGATGGTGGAGAAGGAAGTTTATTATAAAAGGAAGAGCGCAGAGGCAAGGGCATCTAGGAGAGTCCAGAGTCTAAACGACCCTGAGCTGGCCCTGTGAGGAGAAAGGAAGGGCAGGGAGAAGGGATGCCGAGCCAGGTGCTACAGCCCAGAGACCCGAGAGACCTCTGGATAAACAAAACGGCTGTATTATTTAGGGAGGCTGGGGGAGGGGTAGTCCAATTCCTGGGTTGGAGAAATCTGGGGTAGGGGGTGGGGTCTGCCAGCCAGGAGGGGCCCCGGAAGAGACTGAAGGGCAGGAGAACCTGGAATCCACCATCCACTTTGATATGTTAAATAGGTACATCAGCCCCTTTGTCCAGAGTTAGAAACGTAACTGCGGTCCTCCGATTTAAATGCCAGCGACCATTCTGTGACTATTTCTGGGATACAAGATATATTCAACAATCCAACAACTTTGCAATGCAAACCCAACTTGGTCTACACCACACAGTAACCCCAAGTCCCTTCGCTCCTTCCCTAGTCTTCCACTCTATCCATGGGCATAGTTAGCCTATTTCCTTCCACCAATTCTCATCCTTGTTAAGTTTCCTTCCTACCCACCCTTTTCCACTTTAGTACTTAAATGTACAGGAGACATCAGTAAACACATCTCAGCCCCTCAAACTCTGTTCACAAGGTCGCGCAAACGCCAAGCAGATCCTTTTCTCCTCTCTTGGCTTTCTAGAGCCACCTGATGTTCTGGCTTCGATCTACTGCCGAGAGAGAGGGGATGTCACACAGCACATACCCACGGAACTTCATTTAACCGGAAGGGGGGGCACCAGCTAGCGGTTAACTAGCAGTTAAACTAGACCGCAGGAGTGTCCAGAGGCCCTCCCTCACGGGAAGATTTTCAAAGCCGGCCCGCTTTCCCTTTACTTTTCCCCATCTGGTCCCTCATTAACATTCTTTAGGGGTGGGAGAAGCGGGACGAAGAATATCTGGGTTTGAGAGGTCACGAGAATAATCTCGTGGAAAGCAGGCCACCAAGAGGGGACAACTGGAGGACAGAGCTGCTGCTCCACGACCGGAGCCTGCAGTGTACCGCCAGCAGGATAGAGGGACAGCCCTGGTGGCGACAAGCTGAGGATCAAATGGCAGCCGGGCCGGGGCTGTGGATGCAGAGTAAAGGGCCACCCGGAGCGGGCCCTGCCGCGGCCAGCGGGAAACAGGCAGGGCGGCGGGAGCAGCCGGGCCGTGCGCACCTGCGAGTAGGAGCACTTCTCCGAGTCGCTGCCGCCCAGGACGGCGCACGCCTCATTCTCCAGCTCTTCGTCTTCCTCGAGCACGTCCACCAGCGACACCACGGGCTCCAGCTCCGCCTGGCACCCGGCGGGGCTCTCCGCTCCGGCCATCCTCAACTGTCACCGGGCTCCGCTGCGTGGCCCAGGAGGAGGCGGGAAAAGTGGCCGCCAGGAGTGCCGCGAGAAGGCGGGGCCCGAGCACAAGACAGCCAATCCCAAGGAAGGAGACGGAAGAAAATGGGCGGGGCAATTCCGAGAAATCGGAAGTCATTCCTCCTACACGCCTCCCCCGCCCGCCAGGGCCGCGGGCTGGCTTCCGCTTCCGGGTGGCGTTTCTTAGTGGCGCGCTGTTGAAGCTGAGCGGTCGCCATGGAGCTTTCGGGGGAGTATATCGGTTATGACGGGGAGCCGCAGCGGCTACAAGTGTCCTGTGAGGCATCGGGCGACGAGGACCCTCTCCAGAGCCTGTCGGCGGGCGTGGTCCGGATGAAGGAGTTGGTAGCGGAGTTCTTCGGGACCCTAGTGGAGAAGGACGCGCAGGGCGTGGCGGAAGATCCGGACGACGATTTGGAGGGTGAGCACGGGGGCGGGGCGCCGAGGGACTCTGGCGGGGGCAGGCAGTGTGAAGGGCAGCCTAGAGAAGGCGAGCCTGGGGGAGGAGAAATCGCTTCTAGAAATTGTTAGTCCTCTGTGCCCTCTTCGTCTGATCTCCCACCGCCCCGGTTTTCGCGACTTTTCATTTATACTATCAAAAAAAAAACAAACCTGGCGAGCGTTGGACTAGGGGCTGGAAAACGAACGAAGTCAGCTCGACTCCCTTGTAAAGAATGCAAAGGATTGAGATGGGCAGACCTGCTCGAGAAAGTGTGGCGGTCTGTAACCATTGCTAGCTGTCAGTAAGACCGAAAGTGCGGGACGTTGGAGCTGGTTGTTGAAAGACGAAAAGGAATGAAATTAGAAAAACATGTTTGACAGAATGAGAAGCGCTTCAGAGGATCGAGACCCACTTTTGTTTTAGGGAATCTTCACCTCAGTTTTGTAGATACTGTTTTGAAAGTAAAAGGGTTTTTTAGTTTTGCTTTTTGGTATTTTTAAGTTAATTGATTCATTCATGTATGAATGTATTCTGGTCCTGTTCTCTATCCTCTGCTGAACTCCTTCCCAACGGGTCCTCTCTCCTTTCTTTATGGCCTTTTGTTGTCACTCACTGGGTTTATTAAGGATATTCGTGTGAGCATGGGTGGGTTATTTTCAGGAACTAGAGCAACTCAGCAGTGATTAGACCACTGAAGAAAAACACTGACACCTTCCCCCCTTCCCTTAACTGCCAAATGCTCTTCTGGAAGGGGTGGCACCTCATGAGCCCCTCCCCCTTCCTAGATCGAATGTTTAGGTTGCCATCTTGTGCTGTCCAAACGCACCATAGCCCTTCCCTTCCTCTGGCTCTTTCTTTCACCCTCCTCTACTGTTGTAGAAATTAACTTAATTTTTGGGGGGTTGGGGTTTGTTTGTTTGTTTGTTTTTAAAGATGGATGTTTATTTGCATGCATGTCTGTACACCACTTATGTGCAGTGCCTTCGGAGGCCAGAAGAGGGCATCGAATCCCCTGGAACCAGAGTTAGAGATAGTCGAGTGTGCCGTGTGCATGCAGGGAAAAAGTAGGCAGCGCTCTTAACCACTGAGCCATCTCTCCAGCCCCAGCTCTGTTAATAAGAATAAAATTATTTTGTAGACATTGTCACCATGTAACAGTTAAACGAGCCTCGATTTGAATTTGCAGAGATCTGCCTGACTCTTCCTCAGCAGTGCCAGGATTAAAGAAATGGGCCGCCACACTTGACCTTTGTTAAATTTATTTTTAATCTTGAACACCAAGATAGATGTTTCATTGTCCTGAGCTAAGGAGTCAATTCTTCTGCAGAGGAGGTTAAACTGTAGTCCCCTATTCTTTATATTATCGGTATTGGCTGTCATTAAAAGGGACAATAAAAAGTATTAGCTAGATGTGTTAGTCAGGGTTCTTCAAAGTGAGCAGAACTGATAGAATAAGTGCATATATAAAGATATTTATTAGAGTGGCTTATAGCCTGTGGTCTGAGTCCAAAAATGGCTGTCTCCTGAATCTGGTAGTTGTTTGGTCCATGAGACAGGATGTCTCAACAGTACCAGTACTGGAGTCCCTGGAAAGTCTTAAGAGAGCTGCCAGTTTTCAGTCTATGTTGGAATCTAACACCAACAAAGGAGCATCTTGGGCATCTCAGTAACAGGATAGGTAGGATAGGTATACTTGCTAGTCAGAATGAGGCAAGCAGGCAAAAAGCAAAAGCTTCCTTCCATATCTTTTCACATGGGCTGGGCAAGTCGACAACCAAGCTTAGCTGTCATACTAAGATAGGATAGGCAACTGTTGGTGGAAGTGTAAAATGGTTTGTCCACTTTAGAGTTCCTAAAAACTTAGCCATGCTACCCATAGTTAAACCACTAGTTCTCCAGGTTAACTGGAAATATGTTTATACCAAAACTCAATATATTGATTGTAGCAGTACTGTTCATTAATAGCTATAAAATGTAAATAATACAAATCTCCATTATCTGAGTAGAACGTAAGCATTCTTTTAACTGTTGAATAATAGTGGGTAAAATGAAGTATTGGGCTAGGGAGATTGTTGGGTAATTTCCAGCAATTAAACTACAGGTAGCTACACAGAGATTAAGGCTTAAGTTTGACTCCCCGGAACCTATGTAACACTATGCAGTGAGTTGGGAGATGGAGCCAGGAGACTTCATGTATGTAGAGACCCTTTCTTAAAGTGGAAGGTAAAGACCTATACTGAGATGACAACCTCTGTGTGTACTATGGCATGTACATACACATATACACAATGGAATGAAGTATGGAGTCATGCTATCACAGTAATGAATCCTAAGACAACAGTCAGGCACAAATGGCTATACACTCTGTTTTCATTTGTATGGGATATCCAAAATAGGCCAATCTATAAAGGTTGAAAGTAAATTAGTACTTGTAAGACTGAAATGAACAATGTGGCCGTTTGTGGATATGGAGCTTGTCTTAGGGTTTTGTTGCTGTGAAGAGACACCATGACCAAGGCAACTCTTATAAAGGCAAACATTTAGTTGAGGTTCACTTACCGTTTCAGAGGTTTAGTCCATTATCACCATGACAGGAAGCATGGCAGAGTGCAGTCAGACATGGAGTAGCAGAGAGTTCTGCATCTTGACCTGGAGGAGACTATCCCACTGGCTGTGGCTTGAGCATATATAAGACCTCAGAGTCTGCCTCCACAGTGACACACCTCTAACAAGGCCACATCTCCTAATAGTGCCACTCCCTCTGGGCCAAGCATTCAGACACCTGAGACTGTAAGTGTTGTACCCATTCAAACTACCACCCAGGGCCTCTGTATGTAGCCCTGGTATAGAGACAATATCTTGTGTATTGTATGGATGCATCACCTGTCAATAAAAAAGCCTATGGCCTATGGCTCAGGCTGGAAATAGAGGTGGGACATCCAGGAAGCAGAAAAGATTCTGGGAGAGAGCCAGGAGCAGGGGAGATTCACCCAGGACGATGTAAGGAAAGGGACACATGGTACCTAAACACAGATAACCATACAAGTAGCAGAATATAAGTTAAAATAAATAGGTTATCTTAGTTATAATCTAGTCAGAGAAGAGCCTAGCTAGATGGCCAAGGTAGTTGTACATATATTTTGAGTCTTATTTCTGGGAGCACTGGTCTAGGAGGAAGACTTGGAATCATACTTCTACAAAATGGTACCCCATGTTGGGTGCAATATGTTGTACTATATTAGGAGTTTCTACTCTACCTTAGATCATTTAGTTCTCAAAAGACACACAACTTTTATATTTATAATACCCTTTTTAATGCACTAGAGCCGGGCGGATAGCTCCCTTCTAAGCTATTCTGATCCATTTCCCCATCAGTAACCGGATTTACAACTGGCCATGTTCCATCTGGGCTGCTCTTAACACCCAGCTGGCCTGCCCTCATGGCCTGGCCATGTTTTCATGACTCACCTACCCCATGGTATCTTCTCTCCACCTTTTTTTCTCATGGTTCTCCTCAATCCACGAGAACCGAAACCTACGTCTCCTCTGTCCAGCTATAGGCGTTAGGCATCTTTATTCAACCAATAGTTTTAAATTAAGGAGTGGAGTCACATATCATTACTTGATGTAAGTGAGGAGTCTCTCATCCCTGGGGCAACCAGACTTTGGGGGCCAGTATTTAGCATTACATTATAGACAGGCTGGCCTTGAACTCAAAGATTTGCCTGCTGCTTCCTCCCAAGTGCTGTAATGAAAGGTGTACATTTACTTTGTTTTTGAGACATGGCCTTACTGTGTGGCACTGGCTCCCCTGGAATTTACTATGTAGATCAGGCTGGCTTTGGACTTCAAAAGATCTGCATGTCTCTCCTCCTAAGAGCTAAGGTTAAAGGCTATCACACTCACCAAATTCCTGAAGTTTTTACAAATTCACTTACTTTATGTGCATGTGGGTAGCATGTTGCATATGTAGAGTAGGTTCTCTCTCCTTTTTATTGGATTCAAGGGATTGAACTCAGGTCACCAAACTTGTATTGCATTCACTTTTACCCACTGAGCAATCCTACTGCCTCCTAGCATTTATAAAATGTAAGATATGTGTGGGGTTTTAGTCCCTAATGGGAAACGATCTATCAGTCACTTTACCTATTTGTATTTCTTTCACCCACTAAACATAATGTCATACAACAAACATTTATTTTAAAAGGTGATGATGAAGATGATGCAGAAGATGACAATAACACTGGTAGAACTAACTCAGATGGACCATCTGCAAAACGACCAAAACCAGCGTCTTAACAATAGTTTTTAGGAAATTAAGACGGCTACTAGGTTGAATGAGATGATGTATACTTGTAATCCCAATTAATTCAAAGGCTGAGGCAGGAGAATTGAAAGTTGGAGGCCAACTTGTGTGCTACATGTCAAGACCTTGCCTCAAAAAAAAAAAAACAAGTTAGCAGAGCTGCTGTTTGATGACCTGCGGGAACCCACAGAAGACCTGTGTTCTAGCTGGGACTCAGTTCTTGTCTTTCATTGAACAAGTATGGCACAGAGGACACTTCCTTGTTTCTAACAAAGAAAAGTACAACAAATGTTTCGGAATGAACTCTTGTTTTCCATCCTAAAATAAAATGGAACCATTTATAAAGTGGATGAAATCTAAATTGGCAGATTAATTTTTTTGTTTTTCTCTTTTAAAGTGATCATTGAATCAAATGGTATGTCTACATCTTTCAGTGTTTATAAAAGCTGCTTGCCAGAGTTCATAGGCAATTCATATTTGAAAGAGTTAAGAGAAATATGCTTTGTATGTGTATATATACATCTGTACAAGTATAGATGTGAGGCCCTAGTCAATAAAATACATTGATGGTAACTTACATGTTTCCTGTAGCCATTTTTTTTTAATTTTAGTCAAAAGGGAACTATTGAATAGATTAAAAATAGAAATTCCTAAAATATATTGTATGTGTTCCTTTTCTGCTGTTTATCAGTGGAGTTAGAGTGGACTTTTTTGATTTACAGTGCATCTTTCCTGATTTTGACACTTGAAATGTAAAATGTACCTAATGAAATTAGAATAATTCTTTTAATTATATCTGTTTTATTTTGAAGCTGGGTCTTGCTATGTATGTGGCCTAGACTGTCCTGGAACTCACTACATAGTCTACCTGGCTTTGAATTTTTAATATCTGAGTATTAGGGATCACGGGTGTACACAACAATGCCTGGCTTCTTGTTGTTTTGAAACAAGACTTTGCTGGGTGGTGAAGTTGATCTGGAACTCTCTAGGTGTAACTCAGCCTGTCCTCTAACCTCTCATCTTTCCTCTTAGGTGATAGGATTACAGATTATATTCTGGGCCTCGTAGACTCGTAGTGCAACAAATTATAATGACTTAGTTCAGAAAGTAATTACTCAATCTCAGAATTTACTTGCCTCAGGTTACAAAGCCAACCATTGGCCGTGTGTGTGTGTGTGTGTGTGTGTGTGTGTGGTTTTTGAGGCTGGAGATATATATATGTACCTTGGTGGTACAATGCTTGTCTAATATGTGCAAGTCACTAGGTTTGCATCAGTATCTCAAAATGAAAGTGAAAACACTCTTTAGGGCTGGAAATGGCTTCTGTGGTAGATCATTTGCTCTGTGTTTTGAGTTTTGTCTTTTTTTAATTTGAGAGGGGAGGGTTTCTCTGTGTATTCTGTATATTTGTAGACCAGACTGACCTCAAACTCAGCAGAGGTCTGCCTGCCTCTGCCTCATAAGTGCTGGGATTAAAGCCATCCATGCCCCACCACCACCCAGATTTTAAAAAAAAAAAAAAAAAGACAGTCTCACTACTTACCCCAGCTATTTTAGAACTTGTTCCTTAGACCAGGCTGGCCTCAAACTCCTGAAGATCTGCCTCTGTCTCCACCTCTACATCCAGCTGTGTTACATACACAGCTGTAAATTACATATATACTAATACCTGAAATTGCAGATGATGTTACTGAGGATACTCAGATTTTTAAATGTTTGTTTGGAGCATCAGCACTCCACCAAGCACTCTTAGGTAATTCAAACAATTTCAACTAGGAACAATTACTAGTGGCCAGACATTCTTGTTTAATGATGTTTCTAATATTCAGTTGTTAACTTAAAATTCTAGATTTACATAATCCTTAAAAACTTGCCTGTATATAATTTAAAATAGTGTGTTTTAAGTTGTTTAAATTGAGGGAGCTGCAGAGATGGTTCTTCAGTTAAGAGCACTGGCTGCTCATGCCAGAGGACCTGGGTTCAGTTCCCAGCACCCATGTGATGGTTCACAACCATCTAACACCAGTCCTAGGGACCTGACTCCCTTATGTCTGTGCACAGATAGACATGCAGGGTAAAAATAGATTCAAATGATAGTTCAGTTTGCTCCTAAAGTTTTTACATTTCCTTTGTTTACTGAATTTATTATAAAGGCATTTCAGTATAGTAATTGTGCTTATATAATGTTTTGAGGTTCTGGGCTGTAGGTTTGATGGAGCTTTTATTTGGTTTTAAGACTCATTCCAAAACTCTTACTGCTGAAATTAGCCAGAGACAAGCAGAAGAACACTACTTTTGAAACAGCTCCAACTTGTTACTTTTGTACTGGAAAGTCAACCCTCACATTTCCACCTAAAAATAAGCCACACATGAGCCTTAGATGAAGAATCTAAAAGGTGAAATAAGAAATTCTTGCAAGAGGGGTACTTGTTTAAAAGTGCCTAAAGAGAATATGTTATTTTAATAATATAACTGTAGGGCTCAGATCCACATACAGGTCATAGTTGCTTAGCTGTGGTATTAGGACAGTTAAAACACCAGTGAAGAACCTACCGTGGATAAAAACATAGGGGCAGGCATAGGATGCACACCTACAGTCTCACCACTTGGGAGGCAAAGGCAAGGATCTAAAGTGCTGCCACCCTTTCTCAGGAGTGTCCTCATTCCTTTTTTTTCCTGACAGGTTCTCTGTATGTAGCCCTGGCTGACCTGAAACTCTGTGTAGATCGGGCTGGCCTGAAGCCTCAGAGATCTGCCTGCCTCTGTCTCCCTCGATGCCTGATGTTGAGCTTAAAACTGCTGAGCATGCTGCTGCTTTCAATTTAAGCATCTTCTCCAGGATGTATTTAATTTTTCTTAAGAAGGCCTGTACCCCATCTCCTCCCTCTTGCAACTTGCATACATGTTAGAACTGGGCCAAGTATTCTCAACTGATGTACATGTGTAGACTTAACCAAAAACAATTATTTTAAGCTAGTGTGTTATCTTCTGAGTATAAGAATGTTATTAAAACACTGTAACTTATTCTAGTTCTCTGGTGACCTTTGGGATCAGAATTGTTCTCTTTAAAGATGTGGTCCACAAAACTGAATTCTAGAAATAAACTATTTATATCTTAAAAAATAGCAGCTCACATTGGGATATCAATAGACCACCAGAGTGTAGTTTTAAATAGAATTTACTCTGGCCAAAAAACTGATGGAGGTAGCAGCTTTTGATGAGTGCCTTCTGGATGCATGAGACTGCCTTGACCATCAGTGACTGGAACTGTGTTATGTAGTTCTAATAGCTGTTGCACTTTGTACTTGTTGGGTGGCTTAGGATAGTCTAATTTTTAATTTCTAATACATGTCTGAAACATGTATTGAGAAACTCTAGCCAAGAATTTAATAAAAAAAATCGTTGTATATGAAAATTTCTAAGACAACCCATGTAACAAAAATACAATGGGGGCAGTTGAAATCTTGGCCTTGAGGAGAAAAAAAAAAATCACTAAATCCTGAGACCTGAGAGATTTGGATTAAACTGGAACACATGGCAGATTAGGCCACACACTTAATAATAAATACTAGCTTTTGGTTTTATTCTCTAAGGAGAGTGAGCTACATTCATTTTTACAGTATGGTAAGAGAAGTATATATGTTCATAAATACATACTGAGCATCTGCTGTTTACCGGTTACTGTTGTAAGCATATGAGCCATCACAATACATGGTACAAATCCAAAATTTTGAGGAAATGTACATGTGATCATGTGAGGATAGGGAAATACTGTGGGAAAAGTAGGAAGAATGCTTGCATTCGGTAAGGTAGTCAGAGTCTCAAGGTGACATTTGAGTCAGAGTTTGAAGGAAACACAGATAAGGCATGGAAGGAGGATTTATAACATTTCTGAAATGGTCCAAAGTCAAGACCAGTGGGGCCCAGCAAAGAAGCACATGTCTGTAATCCCAGCACTCTGGAGGCAGAGGTACAAGGGTCCTGAGTACACACTGTGAGGCTTGTCAGAAAAGGAAAAAAGATTAGTGTGCCTGGAGTAGAATTGAGCAGAAAGAACAGTAGGAATGACATAGAAGTATAGGGTGCTGATGCAGGACTTTTCTCTGTAGCCCTGGCTATCCTGGAACACCATCTGTAGACCAGGCTGGCCTCACTCAGAGATCTGCCTACCTCTGCCTCCTGAGTGCTGGGATCAAAAGTATAAGACAGCATACCTGAACCAAGATGGGACCTTGAACTTGTAGATAAAATTGTCCTTGAACTCTGGTCCTCCTGCCTCTTCTGAAGGGCTTGGAATTATAAGCATGTGGCACAGTTGATACTAGACTTGAAAAACAGGTTTTGATGGGTTGACATTGGCAGCTTGGTTTTTTGACAGGTTAAATTTCATGAATCTGCTAGTGAGTATATGATGACGTGTAAGCAGGCAGTGAAGTGAAGCCAAGTGTAATGATTGCATGCAAGTGATCCCAGCTGCTCGGGAGGTTGAGGCAAGAGGACCAAGTTCAAGACCATCTTGGATAACCTAGTCAGATTCCACTTCAGAAAAAAAGACAAGTAGGTGGTGGATATTCAAGTGAAACTCTGAAGAAGGGTACTTAAAACCCTTAAAACCACAGAACTGGATGAGATGACAGAAACCTAAGAAAGAACTGGAGCACACCAACACAGAGTTGGAGGAGAAACCCAAGAATTCCTCAAAAAGAAGCAGCAAGCAGCTATGAGGAAGAAGAAAACCCAGAGAATTATCTAGAACTGAGCTACTGAATACATGCAGCTAGTGGCCATATGTGGCTGCTCCTCTTGGTTTGTGACTCCTGAGTACAGGAAGTACAGGACATGAAGGAACACCCTAGATAGTGCTGACCCAAAAGCCAGCTGAAGAATGTATGTCAAAGGTCAGAGGGTCAGAAACTCCTCAAAAAGTAACTCAAGAATCCAGACCTGGTTGTTGAGTTCAGTGTTAATCACCAGTGACTCTCTGGACTTACTGATCAAACTGAGCAGCTTTGGCAGAATGGGAAGCAAAAGTCTGAGAGAAGTATGTTCAGAACAACACAGGGAGGACTGAATATGAGGAAATACAGACAAAATTTGTAAATGGCTCAAGTGAACTTCCTGCAGAACATTTTCTGATACTGTTCCTAAGATAAACACAGCTCCAGTACCTGAATCTTAGGTAAATGCTACATTAAAACACTGTGGACCAGTTCTGTGAACCATAGCAGAAGCACCTGAAAAATGTTTAAGACAAAATGAGCTGGACCCACCTCCATGACCTTGCCATTGTGTGAGGTATTTTTGGATTTTTTTGTTTGTTTGTTTTTTGCTACCTTACAACCAAAAGAAAAACTAAATGCATGCTGATTTCCAACCACAGTCCAAAGTTATCTAGAACTTTATGTGTGAGAGGATTTGTAACATGGTGGTGCATTCTTGATGAAAGAATGAATAATGAAGTTTCACAGTAATTGCTTCTGCCAGGAACTTAAGAAGAGACTCACCCTCCCCATTCAGTAGGAGCACGCGTGTTTGTTTCACAGGAGCAGTGACTTACTCTTGTGAGCACTTTATCTC